ACGTGGTGAAAGGAGGAATCCAGTTTTTTGTTGAAAGACATGTTCATCACACTGTTGGAGTTATGGTTTGGGGTGTTATAGCTTATGGTTCCAGGTCACCTTTAATCTTCATCAGAGGTAACATGAACGCGCAGCGTTATATCCACGAAGTTCTAGAACCCCATCTTTTACCATATCTTGACACCCTGGCAGATCCAACTTTCCAACAAGATAATGCCCGATCACATGTTGCAAGAGTCACAATAGACTTCTTTCAACATAATGATATCACATTGTTACCATGGCCACCAACATCTCCCAACTTATCCCCAATTGAGCACGTGTGGGATATCATGGGTAGGAGATTGCTCAATTTGCAACGTCCTCCTCAGACTCTAGAAGCACTTCGAGAGGAGTTGGTGGTTGCCTGGAATGAGATACCACAGGAGGACATTGACCACCTGATCAGAAGCATGCCTAGGCGCGTTGGAGAATGCGTAGCACATCAGGGTGCATCCATACATTATTAAAGGTCAAAGGGCTTTAAAGCAGTGCAATCATTTTGAAATTTTTATCATTTACTTATTATGCTTCATTAAGTACTTATACAAAATTTTATTAAAATAAAACCATTTAAACTGGGTGTTCGGATTTATATGTCACTTAGTATATTTACATATTATGAGAATATTTGGGTATTAGAGGTACATACCACTTTAGCGTTCTGCGATGCTTTTGTATATAATGACTTGACTGTTTTACTACACATTTCTTTCCAAATTTTCTGATCCTCAAATGTATCATCCATTTCGTCTAACCTTTAATTTGTGTTACTCCATCCAGGATGGTTCTTTAAATATTTCGTCAAGTAGATTGACGCAATGATATTCAGCAGACACGGTCTGACAAACCGACATAAATGAGAAACAGGGACTCGTGTTATGCATATATCCTTAAGCAACAGGAAACTTGTAAATTGAAATTAATATTAATGATAATATTACGAGATTAATGCTTCCAACGTTTAGGTAGTCGTAGATTTTGAAAATCGATTCAGAAGCAACGGAACTACATAAATTCCTGCTCATTTTCAGATATTGTTTGAAGGGGATAAAACTTGTCGGTTGGAAGCCGTATGAGGTAAATAGTTGTAAATTGTTGCATATCTGGAATAAATGAAATACCTTCTATTATTGACAACCTGCTGATCTCAGTGTTACTATACACCTGTTAGATATAATAAGTCACACATGTTTCGATTCCGTCTTTTGAAACGACTTGTTTCAACACTTTCCTTTGAAACACCTACTTAATGACATTTTTTCTTTACGCGCCAACAGGTGAGGAAGTATAGTCGTGAATAAATGTCGAATCGGTGATTGATTTTTGAATGTCGCAAACATGGTAATATATTAAAAAAAGCCACGCCACCTCAATCTCTGCGTAGGCCTGTTCTTACAAGAAAATGGTATATATTGCTGTATCTTGGCATAAAAAATACCTTGCTAGAACGTGGAATGTGCTCTTCAATTATCACAAGCGCTGCTTAAGTGCTTAAGCATGCAGTTACCCCCTTCACCCTTGCTATTGATTTTGCAAACGAACAGATTCCTAACTCCGCCCTAGACGTTGATAAAATATCGACACTCGTTTATTGTCATGCCAACAATGGTAGAGCTTTATGACCATAACACGAAAGACTTCTCTCAGCTTCCTGATGACTCTTGAATATATATAGTAATTTTATATGAGGAGGGGGGAATATCGTACTTCTTTCATAGAATAAAACAGTATTCCAAAATGTTTGAGGGATGAACGTTTTTTGAAATCAGGCATATTTCAGTACATCTAGAATGCTAATTAGATTTAAAACCAATTCACATTTATTTATACATAATGTTTGCGGAAATTTCGAATGTCCTTGACCTCACACTATCCCTAACCTCGGCCTTTCTATGGTTTGGCTCTTGCAAAATCGCTAATTATTGGGCTTCTCTGTCCTGTTAATGTTACCAAGGGCATTATTCATAGAATGCTAAAAAAAGAAGGATGACCTCCCTGCATACGATTATGAATGTGGTCGGTTGGCATGCAAACACTGTCTGCTGACACACGCGGGGCCGGAGAGAGAGTTATACGAGTCTAATTTGTTTGCTCGTCGGAGCGAGAGGGAAAAATGCTAAAGAGCCAGCCAGTCCTAATGTTGACCATAGAGTAGATGAATGGTGCGCAGACATGCTCACTCTTCTCTCTTGCTGTTGATGGCTCACTTACAAATTGCCACGCTTTATAGAGCCTCCCGCTGTACTTTTACTTCATCCAATGCAACACGAATCGATGCGGTGCAGTTCGTTATTAATTGTTGGACGTTTGCATGGCATGATATGGGAATATAATGATAATCTTGGTTTATATGACATTAGTTGGGGCGAGCGAGTGTTTTCATACTTATATGCTTGAAGATCGGCATCCCTGACCCTGTGCTTTATCTTAGTTGGGATCTACCCACATCTAAACTACTGATGATTAACAGAACGATCTTCAGAACCTTAACATGAATTAATGAAGAAAATTTTTAATAGCCTGGCAACCAAACTGGCAAAAATAAGCGTTCTGATAGACTATGCGAGTGGACCTTTGTTAAAATGTTATGTCGTAGTTTTTGTGAACAAAACAGTTTTTGAGTAGTAAAGATGTTTTTAGTTATTGCCCTTTAATTTACTAGTGTTTAGCTTAACAGAATGCCTCGTGTTTGAAGATGACCAAATTATCATCAGGTTAGCGACTTTGATGGGCGTAGAATTATTGCTTATCGAGATATTGATTGGTTCTATCGCGAAACTAGCCGCCGTGTTAATTGTACTGCAATGATGGTAATGCGTGTGTGTCGTGTGTGGATATAAGAATGTACAGGAACACGAAGACGGGTAGTAGGTCCACAGAGGCGTAACACAGAGTATCAAGACAACTAGCCGTACGAGACCGTTTTGCTAGTACGCGTCAGATTGCTGAACAGTGGTTTGGAGAAGAAGGTAGACCTGTTACTAGGCGTACACTCTATCACTGCATTCGAGCCTTTGAACTTTTTTCATACCGTCGACGGTTAGTGCTTCCTCTGACTGTGGAACACTATCGTTAACGTTTGAACTGGAGCAGAGGACCGCAACCTTTGGATGGCAGAACGGCATTATGTCATCTTCAGCGACGAATCGCCATTCTGTCTAGGTACGCACGATGATCGTAGAGGAGTAAGACGCCGCGCCGTGGAGAACGGCGTGATATTGGATTTGCTGTTGAGGAGCATGTACACAGGTCTGTTGGAGTACTAGTTTGCGGCGCTATTGCCTATGGAAGCCGATCACCCCATGTCTTTGTTCAAGGCCGTACCTAGAGGGCCGTCCAGACGCCCTTTTTTCAACAAGACAACGCACGTCCCCATATTGATCGTCGTACTACGGACTTTATTCAAGAAGTAGGCGTTAATATTTTGCTAAGAGCCAGATTTAAATCCCATCGAACATATATGGGATTTGATCCACTTTTCACCATGCGCCACATCCTCTGCCACAACTAATCCACGAAGTTCGAGTTGCTTGGAATAAGGTGCCACAGCCAGACATCGATAATCTTATTTTGTCGATGCCTAGACATATACAGGAGGGTATTCAGCTGCGAGGTCGCCCAACACATTATTAATTTTTTTTCTTACTACTTGTCAAAAAATTTCGTGAGAATGTTATCGTTTTATTCTTGATGTCAGACTACCTGATTGCCAAAAAATCAAGTTGAATAAATTATTTTTTGGTAATGTATGGTAATGTCACTGAATATAGAATGACAGAATGTGCACCGCGGATTGAATTTGATCATTCCAGTACAATAAGAGTGTCATCTGAACACTGAAGTAGCTTTTCTGGTACACAAATTAGTGGGACAGTGCAAGCCGCACTTTTGAAACGAAATCTAAGATATAACTTGAAGGCACTCATTGCGTTGATCGCAGCTTGACCATCAAAGTAAATGTATATTCTTCTCTTAGATCCATCCCACCCTTCAATACAAAACTCTCCATTTTACCAACACTGTCCTTTGCAGTTTTGTATGCCTTAACGATGTTGTTAAAAATTCTTGAAATTCGGGCAAGCTTAAAATAAATATTTTATAAAATTCAACGTTTCGGCGACTAAACATCATCTTCAAGTACATGTCATTTTTTGGAATTAAACAAAAGCGTCAAAAATTACAACACAAAACATCAGTTCTTCCATAACTAGATTTGGGAAAAACTATTTTTGGAAGTTTGTCAGTCAATAATAGCTTAGCCGGGAAAGACAAGCTTGTTTAAAAGATAAGTAGGAGAATCTGTTTCTCAACCTTTAACTACTTCAACTTTTTTAACTCGGATGACACGTGGTCAAACTCTCTGAGATGATAACATATGAACCAGCAACCACTATTTTCGATGTTCTGTAATCTACGATTAGTACTGTAGTCAATACATGGATATGGATGATGGATGATGATGGATGATCAATAAATAAAAAATTTAAGACAAAACAAGGCTCTCGGCAAGTTCCCTTGCGTTCCGAGGTTTAGGTTATGTCGATTCGAAGGAAACAATTTTAATGATGCCATCCACATGCCGAATGAAGCGGAAATTATTATCTGTAAGGACGCCCAATGTATCACTGTATCATTCACAGGTAGCTGCATCAAATTAGCAACATTCACTGCGAAATCATTAGGTCAAAAGATATCAAGACAAAAATAACACAAAATTAACTAGGATTTATCTTCAAGGGGTGCCTCTTACAAAAATGTTCGATACTGACTTCATGATCCGTGCAAGTTTGAATCACATAAGGCTCAACACAACTATTCAAAACAAAAGTTAACATTGAGTAGGTGCCATAGGATTGAGCCTTATGGGCTCCAGCTTTAGCCCTCTGAAACGCCTCTGCTAAATTGACCAAATATCTAGTTACTATTTAAATTGTTCCTCGGTTGCTTTTGACACTTACCTTGTTCTTTGTCCTCCTCGTCCTCAGCCTCAGAAACGTCATCATCGTCGGGTTCGTCGAGCGGTGACCTCGTCGACCTTGGTGAAGGTGGTGCATCTGCTCCTTCAGGACCTTCACTACCCGAATGATCAGCTTCAGCATCCCCTTCTGCGTCACCTAACGATCCGCCGCTACCTGCACCTCCGCCAGTTTTCGATAAGTTCAGTACGGGACTGTGGTCTTCTGTGGGTGAACCTGAAACACATAAAAATGGAACGATTTAGATTTACTCTTGAAATTGCACTCGTATTTTTGTCCAATTTATAGGTTGTGCGCTTCCTGTGCTAATACTCGATCATATGACAATAAGCTCTCCTAGACAGTGGCGTACCTACATTTACACGTTTGGTAAGGACTACGATGTACAAAATAAAGGCAAAGGAAGGCTCCTTGAACCATTTTCAATGATAAAAAACGACACGAGACGTTTTCAATGAACAGGTTTTTTGTATATTCGAGCCTAGATCCTACCTACGGTTCGCTGAGTACTACAGATTCAAAAGTGTATCTTAATTGTTCAAGGAATTACATGCGTATTTAGCATTGAATGCCTGGAAATACTCGTATATCAGTGTTACTAGGGCTTATGTTGTGTGGCACTTCAGCGTGATGGGAAAGCTTTCCAGATTTTTCATCTCATAATTCATTTTCGCGCCATTCGGAACAATTAGAGTCAAATAAACCCGTTAGCGACGGAAACGGGAACAGGAAGGGTCCATCCAGATTGATGAGCCAAGCATGGAAAGATTTATTTCCAGCCTTAGCCTGTCCGTCGTTTCTAAGTATGCGTATTTTAATTGCCGCGCTGCGGAAATTACTCCAGTAAACATTGCTGATAAAGAAGCAGTTACAGAAAAGCGGGTAACACCTAAGCTAAGAATAGATAAAGTAATAATAATCCGGTATATATTATTTACCTTGTAAGGGTATGTAGAAAGTGATTAATTCCTCGGTGTATGAAAATGATTTGATTTTAATTAAATTTGTATACATTTAACATTAACAAAAGGAAGTGATGATTGGATTTTTAATTGAAAACATTTGCGGTGACGCTAGATTTCGATAATAGTGTGCCATATACATCTGTCCAGCCATCGGTGCATGCTCTGCTAACGTTGGTGGATGCAGAGGTGAGGAGGTCTTTCTTCCCATCATATCACACGCATGGTTGAATTGACACCTATTGAGGTAGTCTGCGGCCATTGTCATTTTGGAAAATTGGGTTTTCCACCGTCGGAGAAATACTAAAGGATTATCATTTCCTGGATATACCGTTAAGTCTTCTAAGGGCCGTTTCATCAGACGGTCCTACAATTGTAGGACGCCTTCATGGCCTCCTTGATCTTTTAAGTTTTTTCTCTCTTTCTGAAAGGCTGAGTTATTTAACTAGATTTTTACTGTTCTGTATCAGCATCAGCGCTCTCCTATGGTATGGCTGTTTTTTTTGAATTGCAGAAAATTTCAGGATATAACAGATATCTGATATAAATCAAGAGCATGAACAAATAAATATCTGTAACATAACCTCAAAATAGAGCGATAATTCGAAACACTAGAAAACTGTGAAGATCAAGGAGGCCATAGTGGCACCTCAAACCATGACTCGTACTTTCTTATACCAAGACAGACGCGTAGGCAGAAGCCCAAATAGCAGGGCACCGCGACTGCTATGAGGAGCTGGAAGAAACAATGCTAATCCGATTTTTGAGCTGCCTGGGATCAGTAGAACTCGGAAACGCCTCCTCAGGCAGATTGCTTCATAATCTTGATACCCTAAGGACAAAAGAGAAGTCGTATCAGCCAGTTCTGGATTCGATACTGTTTGGATAGTCCGGCGATAGTGTTTGGTGGGTCCATGGCATCGGAGAGTGTTTCGAAGAGCAAAACCCGTTGACATAATGGTAGAAGACCTGTTGGTCAGAAACGATCCCCGCACTAAGATGACCTAACACGTTATTAAGGAAATCCAGCAAATACTTTCAATTTAAAATTGAATCACGACTTTCTCTTGCTCATAACTATCAAAATTTTAGGTCGAAACTGAATTAATTTTTGCTTCTTATTTAATAAGATAAATTGATGATTTTAGTACATTTCAAATGCAACTTAAATTTTATAACTAACTATTATTTTATGTGTATGTATAATATATATATATATATATATATATATATATATATATATATATATATATGTACGTATATATATATATATATTTCATTCTAATGATTGAGAGCTATTTTCTATCTGTATCTGTATCTATTGCACACACGTTCCATATTTCGTGACAAAATTTTGGACGAGGTCGATTTTGCTAGCTCGTGTTTATATAGTAACAACATCTCTATCGACTGGAGTAACGTTTTCCCTCGTACATCGTAATTTATCGTCGGCTAGATTGGATTGTCCGTCCGGTGTATGTGTGTGTGTGTATGTGCGGATGCAGCCCAAAATCCCACTTTTACTGCCATTAATTAAAGCCCGCGACTCGATAGTTAACTTTTTATTTGCTGCAGAGTCGAGGCCGGAGCTGGCAACTTTGAGCCCCATGTGCACCTATAAAACGCCCTGGACGTATAATAAAGTGACACATGCCTCGAAGACAAATTATTATTCCCCTTCTGCTTGTAGCAGATAGCCGTATAGATTTCTAAATCAGACAGTGTTTAATGTTCAATCACTCAGACGTACATGAACTTCAGTTTCGCCGATTTTCCATCATATTTCTGTGGCACTGTCTTGCGGAAAGCAAAGGATCCAGTATTAGAAAGGACCATAGGCAAAATATAGGGTAACTAATACCAGACCCCATGGCATAAAACATACCAGTTGGGAATTTTTAAAACTGGACAATTTGCCTTGATATTGGAAAAACTTATCCGGTATCTATGACGATAATGTTAAAGCATCATCTCAAGATTCCATCTGGTCAACGAATTTGGAATAAGCAGAAGAAGGAAGCATAAAATTTGTCTTAAACCAAAATCACACAGCCGGTAGTCAGGTTACAAGTTCATAAGCCACAAGCCGATCAGGCTTAAGTCACCAATTTGGCAGTTGGTGAAATTTCACAAAAAAATCGTATTTTTCTGGAAATCATAATGGCGAGTTTAGATACACTCCTCGTATTCCAGACAATTGTCGAAAAAGGTGAGAGCTTCTGTGGGATGCAAAAACCAGTTTAATCTGAATAAGAGCAGAATGTGTTAATACAAATACATTATATTTATCAGCGTTAGGAAATAGCATGCACCTCAACGTTAGGCTTCTACCTGGATAATTGTCAATTGTTAATTTTGATTTATTTCATTCCATTTCTTGTTCCTTTAAGTGCTCAGAAGCAATCTAAGATTTGCTATCAGAATTTTTACCTAACAACATTGAAAAATGTAAAATATTGGAGACAAACCGAATTGTTTGAGATGGATAGTGAAAAGGGCCAACCGAAACTTTAACTTTGAGCTTTATGTACTTTAATTTTGAATCTCAAACTATTTAGGAAAGGTCGTAACTTTCGAGTTGTAATCAGTAATTTTCTCGTTTTAGTGCCAATTCTAAACATCAATTAAATTACTTCCAAACCTTTCTATTGGATAAGTATAGTGATAATGATATTTAAGAGTCACATAAAATAATAATGGTCTAACTCCACATATGTTCCAGTATTATCCTGAATGCATGATTATACCATTTTTACATTGAACTATATTGAATTAAAATCAGAATGAGAATATGATGGCGCCATCTATTGACCGGAGACTGAAACAAGGAATTAGACTAGCTTTATACTGATAGATTCAGGTAGAAAAAGTAAAATTTTGATAGTAATACTAATTATTCATTTTTATCACGGCTAAAAAATCCAGATTCGAGAAAATATTCCAGGATCCCCTCTTCCATAGACGTTTCCTCCAAAATTAATGCAGGCAGACAAAACAAGTGGAAGAGAAGTCAACATCTTTGGTCTAGCTAAGCTTATATCTCTCGGAGCATAATTCCAAAATTCGTATGTATTTCATTTGAAACGATGCACACATAAGTATATCCGAAAGTTTTAGCTTACCGTTCCTTGGACTTAGATCCCTAGGCTTCTGATCCAAAGGTATAGGTCTATCTGGATCACACCTTTCTTCTCGTAACCTGCAACAAAGTATAACCAACGTTATTTATAAACCGTAAATGCTTTTTTTGGTAGGTACTATTCAAACACAAAACTAATTCGCTCATAGCAACTACCGCTATGCCTCTGATTGGACGAACCAGCAAACTGCGATTGACAAACTGAAAAGTTCGGCGTCGAAATTTACATTTTCAGTAAAGATCAAATCGACAGATTGCATGTTTCAAATGTAATGCATTTATAATGAAATTATAATGAAAATTGTGGTATCCTCTCTTTTATCGCTTGTAATTGGCTCTGTTTGTTTATTGAACGTTGTTTCCATTTGTGTTGTCGTTTCGCAATTATTCCTATACCAGTTTGAACCATAAAAGACAACACCAAACAAATGCTGGAAGCCGACTACGCATGGGTATATTACATCATTTTGGAAATGATGGAAAAATCGAATTATTACGATGATCGTGTAACTCCTAGTTATATATCCTTTTGTGGTTTTGGTAGTTGTTGTTAAGGTGGTGCAGTTAGGATAAATTGCTTATAATTAGTAGTGATATTTCTGGGCGTAAGTAGGTGAGAAATCTGACGATCGTCAGCTACTGATGGTTTGTCAGAACTAATATCATCCTCACCCCATACAAAATGACAGACGCATCATCATTACTGAAATGGTCGACCCGTCCAGTAGTTGTAATACTAAGTGTTCATAAAGTCTTTTCATGCATACATATAAACAACCTGAACTAAAATGTATTTGCTTTCCGTCTCGGTAAGCTAACTTGCTGCAGACAACAACTCATCACATTTTTAGTTTTTCAAAATTCCATACCCGCTTTGTTTTTTTTTTCAAGAAAATTGTATACAGGGTGGCGCATCGAAAACGAAACCGACGCATTTACTGGCAGCTCAGTTTTTTTTAAACGCTCAGACCCGGCGAATTTGTTTTCGAGGGGGACACAAGTTTGGCAAAAAATCACGATAACACGTGCATCCCCCTGGGCGGGGGTGATACCAACCCTAAAATCTTAAATGGAAAGGGGGGTCAGTGATACCTTATTTTAAAGGTCTTTCAATTCCCTTTATAATGATATAAAATTAATGTACTTCAGTTCAGTAGTTTTGAAGATTTATTGACTTAAAGCTTAAAGTAGACTTTAATAGGTACCTCAGATTAGTTTCAGAAGAAATTTGACTAAAAGAATTTAATTAATAAGTAAATGCTTTTCTTCACCACGCCCATGGTTTGTTTATCATTTTGTTGTTGAAAATAGCTATTGGAGCGTTTTTTCGTGGCAAAAAAGTTATTTCTTGAAGAAAGATAAGGAAATATCTCGTACTTATTTTAAATAGGAATTTAGTACATAGTTTGCGATTGAGTTGACCAAACTCTGTAGCTAAAATAACTTGTAATGCTTTATTACATAAATTAACCATGGTATATTCCACAGCAGAAAGAGTTGAAATTATGGAAATATTTTTCGGAAATAATCAGTGCGCTAATAGAACAGCAGAAATAATTAATGAGCGACATGAGAATAGTAACGTGCATCGAAAATATGTTCTAGTACTTGTAGCTAAATTTCGGGAAACTGGGTCAGTCGCCAATAAAAAACCCAACATTGAAAATCCTATAAGGAACGAAGCAAGAGAAGTGGGGGTTTTAGGGCAAGTTTATGTAGATCCTACGTTAAGTACCCGCAAATTGGAGACTGTGGTGTTAGTCGACGTACTGTCCAACGGATTCTGAAGGCCCATACTTTTCATCCGTATAAAATTCACCTGGTACAAGAACTTAATGAAGACGATTTTGATCGGCGATTACAATTTTGTGAAGATATGAGTGAACGAATTATAAACGATGAACATTTTCTATTCAACACCTGCTTTTTCGAGAAATGTTCCTTTTTCTTAAATGGCGTGGTAAATCGTCATAACTGCTGGTATTGGTCCGATTCTAATCACAGAATTTATCATGAAGTTCATACACAGCAGCCACAAAAATTAAAAGTTTGGGCTGGTATTTTTGGCGATCGTTTAGTTGGTCCTTTTTTCTTGCCTGGAAATTTGACCGGTGAAATGTATTTGGAGTTAGTGGAAGACGCCATAGATCCTGCATTAACAGCCATAATTGAAAATCAGAATGATCGGTGGTACTTTGCGAATAGATTGATGTTCCAACAGGATGGTGCCCCACCACATTACGGATTACGTGTTCGACAATATTTAGATCAGACGTTTCCAAATCGATGGATTGGTAGAAGAGGTGCTATTGAATGGCCCCCAAGATCGCCAAATTTATCACCTTTGGATTTCTGTGTGTGGGGTCATTTAAAAAGCAAAATCTATGCTACTCTGCCAACATCATTAGAAGACCTGCGACAAAGAATTGTGAATGAGTGCCTTCAAATTACTCCTCAAATATTGCAAAATGTGCGGCAACGGTTTGAGCAAAATCTTTATTATTGCATGGAGAGTCATGGTGGCCATTTTCAACATTTACTTGCCTAACGGGTCAGTTCATTCTTGATTTTTAAATTACTTTGCTGCCAAATGTATTGATCTCCACTAATGATAATGTATTAGTTTTATTTAAGCTTTAAATCAATAAATCTTCAAAACTACTGAACTGAAGTAAATCCACCATTGCCTATACCGTACTGACAAGTTGCTAAAGAGCACGAAGCAGCGTTGTTTGTTGTTGGTCATGGACACTGATCAAAATTTTTATTAACTTTTGATACTGATATCATCGTTTTACTTGAAAATATGCAGCTAAATCATGATATTACTTGGAAAAATATTAGAATTATAGATGGAGTTGTATTCTAAAAGAACGTTATATCTCGTTATATAGTTTATCATCTCAGCCATGACGAGATTACGTTGTGGCAAAAGCGTTTTTTTCTTATTTTTTAAACTGACCACGTCTATGAGTATCAAAGCTAGATGTCTAAATTTTAGCTCATATCCTATTCTATTCATAGCGAAAAAGCCGCGATATGATACTCAATGTGTGGTGAAGTCTTTTGTATTACTAGTGGCACTGAAAGCGGTAGGTATGGAATTCTGATGAAATGCGCCGTCGATTCGCGGGAAGAATTGTTATTTTAGGAACTAAATTATTTTTTAACATTGAAGAATAGATAGATGAATAAATAAGCAAAGGCAGACTTCAATTTCAGGTTCTAGATTTCAATAATGTCCTGCTATTTCTTTCACTTTTGAATCATTCGTTCTTCGTAACAAAAATGGCCAGTCCTTCTTATCCGTTAAGGGCGTAGTTCGAACGTTCTGAAGAAGAACACTGGCTGGCATGACCCCAAACCAACCAAATTTGATTGACTGATGACTGAACCATAAATAGTCACATGAATGCAAAGGCTACAAATTCCGCACACTTTTTTAACAGCTCACACAGCTCAACAAAATATTGTATTTGTACGTAGAACTAAGGTTGTTATTTATTAAAAGAGAACGATGTGACAGCATAATTCTGTTGAGGAGTCACAAGATCTTATGCGGGTTCTGATCAGATCCGTTATTAATCGAAATAATTACAGCCCATCCACAAATCTGAGATGAGATCTGAACCGAGTAGCGCTAAGTAAACGGTGGTCTATCAAGATGTATCTGAATATAGTTGAATGGCAGAGGAGGCACCACATACTTCGGCGCAAAGCTTTCTCTGCGCTGCTACCGCGGTACATTACGATCTGGACTTCGATAGTGTCTCGACTTACGTGTCGGATTACTCCCTAATGAGAGCTTCTAGACTTTGGAATAAATTAAACGGCACGGGTTTTACGTTGCAATACTGAATTCTACGCGGTGCATGGACGTACCCGAACGTCTTCTTCAGTGGTTTTAACTTTGTCCAAAATTAGTCTGAGAAACATTAAAAAATACCAGAGCAAGCAATTTATTAGTGCCTAATGTAGCTTGAATTTTTAAACTGATGCGCGCATGAGAGTGAGGTTGCAAATTGGTTGTCAGTTTGTTCTTGTATTTCTCAATGATAAAAGAATAAAACATGCTTCAGTAGCTACTTATGACTTTAAATCTTGTTTTTTATTTTATAAGATTTTCTGTCCATTACTACACAGGTCCATATTTCTGTGGCAAGTAACAATTAAAAGGGAATAAATCAGTTTTGTCGACTGTCGTTTTGGCTTGAGCTTGAGGCTTTTTTACTCAGGAAAATAGACGAATTCGATTTTAGCTCCAACTTTGATTGTGACCTACTAAAATCGTTAGACCCTTCCTCCATGTATATACTAATATATTTTTAATGAATTATTTTTATACCCGTTCTCTGTCTCTGATATATTCGTGCTTTTGAGATGCTCACTTGGTTAATGACAGATAGTACGATTTTCAGCTCATAAATAAGGCGCTAGCTCATTCAATTATACGACAATAGCTTTGGATATTTCGATCAGCGGTACCTCTTTGGCAGGCTACTATTTCAAGATTCCTCATTCCTTTCTATCAATGAGCCAGCGACCTGATAAGCCAATGGAATATACTCCTGCGAGCAGTTTCCATAATGCCCTCACATCCTGGCCTGGTAAATAGACTTTCCAGGCGTCTGCTTCTCCTTGTTATCTGTATTTGTTTCCTAGATATCAAGAATAAGAAACATTCCACCAAAGTAAGTTTTTCATAATTCAGCCAACTTTAGTCAGTTCAAAACGAGGTTTGCTCAATTTGGTTTCAGCAGGTACTGTGATATTCAGGCTTCCAATGACTAGGGTGGCTTCAAAATATTTCTGGGAATATCTTTAACTCTTCCTAGCTAAGCGACCTGAGTACCTGAGTTACGCCAATGGAGTAAAATGGCGGGCTCCACCTTCAACAGGGAAAAAAGAGTGAGACGTCGAGGCGGTTTCTGACGAAAATGGAATGATGAGGAATTTCATAGACACGCATTAATGGTTTAATGGAGCCAGCCTTGGAGCCAGCGCTGAATATATACATGATGGAAGGAGGTGATCGATTGGAGCTCGGGAAATATAGTTAT